TGATATATCCGATGAGACCAAAAATATGATGATGAGCATTATGGGCACAGTATGTGATACCAGTGCTCCACTATCGGCCGACAAACAGCAATTGCTCAGCGATTGTGAATCAGACGTACCCCGAGTGGTAAACCTATAAAATATTGTTTAGTATAATTATATTGTAATTAAATATTAACTTTGATATTTTATTAGTTTAAGTTTGTTTATCACCGATGCATTAAACACACAATGGATGTGTCCGAGATTGATCAGCCGTTCCCATGTTACAAGCTTATGCCGGGTAATGATAAGGTATGCAAACATATTTTTAAAATAAACATATATTTTACATAATATTTTAAAATGAAATTGAATTCATTGTATGTATAGTTGAAGGAGTGTATGGATAAGTGGGCGCGAAGGGCCTCTTGGGTTGGCATAGATGTGCCGGCTCTCAGGGCTCGTGTTATAACTAATTATGCCGTAAGTGTTGGTGTTTTAAGATGTTTAAGTTGGTGTCAATTGTAATTATTTATTTTATATTTTTTTCGTAGAATTGTATGCAAAGTGTTGTTTGATGTATAATATATCATAACAGGTATACAAAATAAAATTCTTTGATTTAATATGAAACCAAAATTTGGTTAAATTACTGTTTTAAAGAATTTGTATAAAGTTTAAATTATTAAAATAAAATTATATAAAATAAATATTTTTTAAAGAATTTATTTGTAAAATTTAGGCTTCTTAAACTGACATAGTATTTACCAAAGTACTTAAACTTAATTACATCATTTCAAATACTAAAATATATTTTGGTTGAAATATACAGTATATAACTATATATATAATTAAATATATATAATTAAAAATCAAATGGCTATGAATGACTTATTCTTAACCTTGGTTAGATTTATTCAATTAACTCAAAGATATCAGATTGTATGCAGCAACCAAACTTCAATTGAGCCTAATATTAACGTTATTCAACACATTGATCCTAATGTATTTCATATAACATTTAAACAAAATACTAAATAATATTTAAAAGTATTTTGACCATTATAAATATTCAAAGTCAGTTATTTCTAAAACATTTTAATTTTCATATTATAATATCATAAAATTTTTATAGCTTTCTTAAAGAAAATGATATTAAATAATATAAATAATATATTAAAAGTAATATTAAATATATATATGTATCAAATAAATATAAATATAATTTTGAAATATAANAGTAATATTAAATATATATATGTATCAAATAAATATAAATATAATTTTGAAATATAATATATTTTGTAATTTAATTAAATATACTTATTTTTTGAAATAAATATATTTTAAAATAATCATTTTGAATTAAAATATATTTAAATAAAAATTAAAACAATAATAATGTTAATTTACTTCCAAATTATATTACAAATTATTCGTCAAACATAACTTATCACTACTGTACTGTAGTACCGGTGTGTTGTAATGGTCTGGTATTGTTATTTGATATTATAGTGTATTATTTAACACGATTTTATGCCACATTCAATAACTACCCTCCCGATCCTCTAATTGACAAATCTACCACTAATTTGCAATCTATTGAGTAATTGGTTTAAGGAAACCATTTTTAATATGTAATTAACAAATAGAAAATTTTGTTTTACAAAATAGAGTTTAGAAACTACCAAGAGCACTACAATCTAGAAGTGACAGAATAGCATAAAGCCAATTGCCCTGTTAAAATATACTTAACTGGGTAGGACCGTGGAACATGAACATTTGTGTTTAGGATGAACACTGAATTTGGTCTATAAGCATTTACTAAATGGCAAACCTCTATACGACCTGTCTCATCAATTAGTTATTATATATGATATAAAATTACCGGTATATGAAATAATAAATAATAAAACCTTCAAAATAGTAAATTCTTAATTATACAGTATGTTATTTTATACAACACATATGTCCCAAAAACACAATTATGTGAACACATATTAAATGGTTAAAAATATTTTTAATATTGAAATACTCATTTTATAAAAATACTTTATTTATAGATCATTGAGACACACTTTCAACACTGCAATCAAAATGTCTGTAAGCAAGAAAAAAAGTGATCAAGGTATGTGATTAAAATATTTTTAGTATGCTAAGTGATTTAACAAAGCGGATTTATTAAATTAAAAATTCATTCTATTGGTATAATATAAAATTTATTTTATATTAATAAATTACAACTTGTATAAACTAGTGATCAGATAAATAATAGACAAAATGTATTGAATAATTAGAAATAGGTAATATTGATAGTGATAACAAAGACAAAGTTGATAGTTTTCAATAGAAATTATACAATGAATTAAAAATATATACAGTGATAAATTTTTAATTTGCATGAGTCATTTTCACTGATACTATAAATAAATATTGAAAACATAAACTAAATAACAATTTGCATATTAAGAAATTAATTAAAATCTCTAAATTAATTAATTTACGTTAAAATTAACAACAAATTAATCAATTAACTTTTTAACCATTTAAAATGCTTAAAACTAGAATACTTTAATTACTGCGACAAAAAGCTACGCCAATACCCGCGCCGGTATCCCATTCCTAAGTTCCACACCCGGTACCCATTCAAACGCAATGCTATTGATGTAACCCATGAACATCAGCTCAAAGAGTGGGTGTACTCCCTGTACCCCTCGAGTCAACTGCGGGCCGATAGCTTCCTAAAAGTGGAGAAAACTACATCTCTGGTGGCCTTCTTCTACCCACTGACCACTCAAGTGGACAGGTATGCCGAGCTCATCAAGTTATACATCGCCTTTTTCATACTGGACGACCACACGGAGTGTGAGTACGGCGATGGG